TTTTCTACAGAAGTTCATATTAGAATAATAATTTTCTATAAAAGTCTTTTGGGCCAGGGCCCCGTATGTTTTATGTCAATAAGCTGCTCACATTCCGTGATCATCATTTGCTAATGAGAACTGACAGCAACACAAAATGGTTTTGTGGTCTTTTCTTTTTGTCCACATCCTTTAGAAAAAAGAAAAAGGGGGAAGGGGCCTTTGAATAGCTAAAAAAGCATAGACTTTGAGGTCAGAAGATGACCTTTGGTTTCTCATTTGTGAAACTTTCATAATAATTAACTTACCTCATGAGCATATTTTGAAAGCCAAATGAAATTGTATCTGTGAAAGTGCTGTACAAATGCTAAGGTTATTACTGAAGTACAAAGGTTAGTATTAAAAGTCATACCCCTTACTTTAAAACAGTGGCTTTAAAACTGAACGCACAAGATTATCTGCTTTGTGGATTATCTTTCTATGTCATCATTGCACTTATTATAGTCATCTCACTCTCTCTAGCCTGTGCACATATTAAAGGCAAGGCTATGACTTTTTCATCTCAATGTCTCCAGCATTTAGCATACTCTTTGACACATAGTATTTGCTTTCACATATTTATTAAACTAAGCATTTAAAAGAAGCAGAAACATTGATTCAAACCCTTGAATATTATGTGGTGCAATATGAGACTAGACCAGTTAGATCCAAAAATAATGCACTGCTTTCCTTTCACAGGCCAAAAAAAAAAAACTAAAAGTCACTGTTGCAGACTTGGTTCTGATATGGAGTTTGTGGGACATGATATTTGTTAAGGATCAGTGCTTCTAGAAGGAAGGGGGAGCAGGATTGGGCAGAAAGAGAAGCAGAGCTGTGGTTTAGGACTGACAAACCTCAGCCAACTCACGGAGAGCTCTAGAGCAAGTGTGGCCCATTAGAGTTGTCCTCCTTCAAGCCAAATGACCAGGCCTTTATACCCCTGTCTCCATCAGTCATTGATCTGAGCCTCCCTGGGAAGAGTATGGTCTTGAGCAAGGCAGCTCTCTGCAGCTGAGGCAGTCCCTGAAGGGGCTGATGGTGCATCTGGTTAGTGCATCTCCGTGTTCACCATACAGTTGTCACCGAATCGACTCAAACTCATGGCAACCCCATGTGTGTCAGAGGAGAACTGTGTTCCATAGAGTTTGCAATGGTCGATTTTTTTCAGAAGATCTCCAGGCCTTTCTTTCAAGTCTCCTCTGAGTGGACTCAAACTACCAACCTTTTGGTTAACAGCCAAGCTCATTAACCTTTTCAACCACCCAGGGACTCCATAGTCATGAAGTTTAAAATGTTTTGTCTACCACATGTGAAGATGCATTAATATTTGAGGGGACAGAATGGGTTGGCTTTAATCCCTGGTAATTTAAAATTACATCCATAACCAAGTAAAAGACCTATGCTCTTGCAAATGTGTGGCATAATACGTCAGAACATTTAATTAGTAAAGATTTAAAGGAAAGGAAAAGGCATCAATTTGTTGGCATGTGATGTATTTTCTAGTAAAATGTTGTCCTTCAGCAAGTAGTTTCTGGGTGCCTGTTTGTGTGTTGACAAGTGTCAAGCATTACAAAACAAAGCACTCGTCCTGGGGGGTAATGATAAAGCTTTGGGCAGAACCTCCCTTCCCATATTCAAGCCTCTCTACTATTCCAGCTCTTGAAAGGAAAGGGTTTGTCTGTCCACCAGGATGTGTCTGTGCACTGGGGTCATAAAGAACTCAACATCAGTAGGATGTGGGTTCCCTTTCTGCTTTAAGCCTTTCCAGGTCCCTGGCCCCCAGGCATTTGATGTTACCTGTTGGGCAACTCATTTGCTCAAGTGTGGATGTTTCAATGGGACCAGAAGATGTGACCAAAAGCTAATCCATACCACAGTTCTTCCAAGATCTCAGTAAAGAAATCAACAACTCAAACAGTTTCCCAGTCACAGTGTGTATGCAGCCTGTTTTACCTAACACAAAATAATGTGTTGGGCATATTAGCAAACATTTGAGTTTAAAAGTAAATGAAGCACTATTTCCTCAGGACCAAGGGCTGATTTGCCCTTCATTCTAAATTTCTGAGCAAAGTTCAGGTGTTTACATGACTAAGACTTAAGAGATTGTGCTGGGAAACTAAGATCTCAAGAAAATTAATTGTTAAGTCCATAAGCCCTTCTATCTTCCTTTGCTGTATTAACCCATTATTATTAAATCCTTCTACCACCTGTCTGTTAGTTTGTTGTACTATGGTGGCTTGTATGTTGCTATGATGTTGGAAGCTATGCCACCAGCATTTCAAATACCAGCAGGGTCACCCATGGTGAACAGGTTTCAGTGGAGCTTCCAGAATAAGACAGACTAGAAAGAAAGGCCTGGTGATCTATGTTGGAAAGTTAGTCAATAAAAACCCTATGGATCACAACAGAATATTGTCTTATACAGTGCTGGAGGATGAGTCCCCTAGGTTGGAAGGCAACAATGGACTCAAGCATGCCAGCAATCTTGAAGATGGTGCGGGGCCAGGCAAAGTTTCATTCTGTTGTACGTGGGGTGGCCATGAGTCTGAGCAGACTTGATAGCAACTAACAACAATTAAATGATTATAAATGATGTGGGTAAGATCAGTTAACAACAGGCTTGCCCACCACCATTATGACTTATCATACAGATTTCTAACATGTACACTAGTACATAGGAAAGAGAAGTGAACATTTCTTAGGAATTTCAGGAGTAGTGTTTTTAACTGATCAGTGTTTTCATTTGGCTCTCTCTCAATCCTTAAGGATTATTGTTTGTTGTTGTTAGTTGCCGCCGAGTCAGTTCTGACTCATAGCAACCCTATGTACAACAGAACAAAACACTGCCCGGTCCCTAGCCATCCCCACAATCTTTGCTATGTTTGAGCCCATTGCTGCAGCCATAGTGTCAATCCATCTCCTTGAGGGTCTTCCTCTTTTTCCCTGACCCTCTACTTTACCAAGCATGATGTCTTTCTCCAGGGACTGGTCCCTCCTGATAACATGTTCAAAGTATGTGAAACTAAGTCTCACCATCCTCGCTTCCAAGGAGCATTCTGGCTGTACTCCTTCCAAAACACATTTGTTCGTTCTTCTGACAGTCCACGGTATATTCAATATTCTTCACCAACATCATAATTCAAATGCATCAATTTTTCTTCAATCTTCCTTATTCATTGTCCAGCTTTCGCATGCATATGAGATGATTGAAAATACCACGGCTTGGATCAGGCATACCTTAGTCCTCAAAGTGACATCTTTGTTTTTTAATGCTTTAAAGAGGTCTTTTGCTGACCTTTCATAGACATTAAAATAAGGCTAAATATGCTTAATTTTTAAAAGATATAATAAAATTTCCATAGTGGCTTAGTATCCAATAATGTCTGAATTCTCTCAGTTCCCAGGACTATTTTTAGGTCTTTAGGAAAAATATAACTCCTTTTTCCTCTTTCTAAGCCTTGGTATGCCCCACTAAATTTTAACCTGTCTCATCACACTCTTCCAGCTCATTCTTCGTTTTCAGCATCCAGGAATCTGAAAGGAGGGAGGCTCCTTTCACTATCGTGGGGAAGAGAAGGGAAGTACTCAAGGGCAGGGGGACAGAAGGCTTGGATTCTAGTTCCAAATCTGAGACTAACTGTGTGACTTCTGACAAGTTCCTGGATTTCTGCAGGCTTCCATTCGCTCATCTATTTAGAGAAAGGAGAGGAGGGACGATTTCTAATGTCCCTCTCAATGCCACTGTTCTATGATTCTCTAATGTCCCAAGTCATACTCGGGTCATATCCATGGAGGAAGCTTTGATGATAGACCATGTAACGAGATTTGAAGGGAATATTTTCTACGGCTTCCAGAGTTTGGAAGACATGAGTAATCTAATCCCCCACCCGCACCCCAGTCGCAAATTGGTAGTAAGGAAATAAAGACTGAAGTTTGGGGCATATGTTATAGACTCAACACAAATTGAGTTTTCAAAGCCAGGAGAAGATACATTAAGGCTAGAATATTTTCACTTTTTGATTAGTGACATTAAAGAACAACCATAAACGTGACCAGCAGTTAATACTTTCATTATCAGTTAAGAATTATAACCATCTAACTTTCAGTATTAAATTTAATTCTCTTAAAGACAAAATTTCTCTTCATGTAATGATCCAAATTACTATTTCATATTTGAAATTGGGGAGAACCTCCAATTTATTGGGCTGCCTGGCTCTGTCACCAAGAAGGTTAAGGTCAAGTTCACAATTTAATAACATTAGTTTCATTTTATTGCAAAGCCTCAAGTACAAACTTAACCCTGCTGGCTTCCTCAAAAAAATGTGTGAAAGCTGGGCCAAAGAATGTGCAAAGCCATCATCTCTAAAGGAAAAGTAATTCACAGGTTGGCTGTACTAACAGTGGGGAGCACCAGCCTTTCTGGTTAAGCAGGACAGCATGGTGTCAAGGTTGCCCTGGAAAGTGAGTTGCCAAGTGGGTTAGTGTTGAGATGCCTAAAATGAACATGACACTATGCTAGCACCATGAGCATATTTCTTCCTTATAATTCTCAGTGGAATCATTGACTCTAACCACTGGACACTCAGTGGCACACAAACCAATGTTTGTGTACTATTCATTCTCCTACTGGTTCTTTAGACTTCACTTATGGTTACTTATTCTCTTTCGAGAAAAGTGAAGAGATTAAAAAGGAGGTGACTTCTCTATTTCATTCCATAACTTCTAAGGAAACCAGAATGCATGAGATTTTGTGTTCATTCAGTAGGGTAAATCCTGAGACTAAAAGCCAAACTTCATAAGCTCCATGAACTCTTAGAACATTGATTTTAAAAAATGCCCCCTTCGTGCATTCTAGAATCCTATCTCCCTCTTTGTTTGAACCCTCTTACACAATAGGGATGCTCAAGCACTAACTAGCTACATATATTTTATAGTCCACATCGCGGTATGAGATTGACAAAGAAAAAAAATACAGTCAAAAATTTGAAGATACTCTCTTTTTATTTCAAAACAAGGGAATAACTCAAAATTTGAGCCTCAAGGATGGAAATATATTTGAGCCAAATGTTCGGAAGATGAGCCAGCCTGCCATTTTGGCACCAAGCTTCACATGGACAAGTGGATGTTAGAGAATGATGCCCGCGACATGGCTAAAGCTATAGCACACCCACAAATAGATTCATACTTGGTTGTCTAATTTGCATGCATGAGTATAGTGTATTCTCCATGCCACTAGAACATATATGCCTTTTTCAAAGTCAGCGCAGGATCCACGTTTGTGCAGGTCTTTAAAAGTCTGCTCTCTTACGAAAATTTTACAATTTATCTGAGAGATCCTTCAGGTGACAAATTCTTTTTGCCACCTTTACTTCCCAAAAGTCAATTCCAAATAATAATTATAGCTGTCCAGAGTTCCAGCATCACATGAGAGAATCTGTTTGTTAGTTATTTTTAATGTCAGTTAGCTAGTTGTGAGTAAACCTGGCTAAACATATCCACATGCTTAGTGTCTGGAATTTGAAATTGGTAACCTTTTAGCAGCAACGGCAACCTTAGACCAAAACGACACGATAAAATAAGCAGCAGGAGATGTTCTGGAAAGATTTGGGCTTTCTTGCTTTCCAAAGTGAATTCTTCCCTAATAAGCACCAAACAGTGACAGCCAGACCCACTCTTGCAAGAGTGCCCACTTTTTCTCATTAATGTTGAGTTGCTGAAAACCCAAACAGCATTCAGAGCCAAAATCTGAAAAGGAACCAAAAGAAATTGTACCAGGGAAAGGAAATGGGAACCAAAAACAAGTTCCCAGAGTTTTATCTCTGTGTTAACAAGCACGTAGTCTTTATTGCTAGAATAGGCAGAATCCCGTGGGATTTGCTGCATCTTTCATGCCTTCACTCTTCTCTTGCCAGTCCCTCCCTGGCTAGTTGAATTGCCTTGGCCAGGGGAGGTTCTCGCATCCAGAAGCCACTCGGCAGCAGGCCTCAGGAGCTGCACTCCTCGCAGTGACAGGAGAGGATGTACCGGTAGGTGGCGGTAAGTCGCATGCCCCCTGAGCAGCGGAGCCGCAACGCCTTCAGCTTGGAGGTCTGGGGCCGGCAGCAGTGACAAGAGGAGCGGAAGGGTTGCTTGAGGACCGTGCTGAAGGACACCAAGGGCTCAGAGCGCGACGCCTGGCTGCAGTGCCCCTCACACCTGGCCAGGAGCACCATCTGGGGAGAGAAGAAAAGGTGGTTACCCTGCGGGAATGCCAAAACCTTAGCCAGGTACCACAGTGTCCTTTGAAAGGCCCTGTTGTTAGCTGCCATCAAGTTGGTTCCCAACTCATGGCGACCCTGTGCACAACGAAAAAAAAAAAAAACTACCTGGTCCAGCACCATCCCCCTGACGGGTTGCGTATCGGACCTTTGTGATACATAAGGTTTTCACTGGCTGTCTTTTAGAAGTAGATCGCAAGGCAGCTCTTCCTAGTTAGTCTTAGGCTGGAAGCTACACTGAAACCTGTTCAGCATCACAGCAACATGCAATGCTCCACTGACAGATGGGTGGTGGCTGTACATGAGGTGCATTGGCCGGGAATTGAATGTGAGTCTCCCGCATGGAAGACGAGAATTCTACCACTGAACCACCAATGTCTCATTGAAAGGTCCCAACACTCCAAAAACCTGTCTTGCCAATTCCTGCTGGATTAGACCAGTGGGTCTCAACCTTGGTAGCACATAAGAGTTATCTAGGAAACTTTAAAAGAAAAATCAAGGGGGACACATGACATGCATTTGTCAAAACCCATAGGGCTGCGCAACACAAAGACTGAACCTTAATGTAAACTATGGACTTCGGTTAATAATAATGTATCAATATTGGTTCATCAGTTGTACCAAATGGACCACACTAATGCAAGATGTTAATAATGAAAGGAACTGTGCAAGGAGAGGAATGGGAACTCTGTACTTTCTGCACAATTTTTCTGTAAACCTAAAACTGCTCTCAAAATAAAGTTTATTTAAAATTATGTGTATACAAACACATCAACACCCAGGTCAATTGAATCAAATCTCAGACCAAATGAATCAAAATCCTTGAGGGCAGGACCCAAGAACCTATATTTTTTCCAAGCTTCTTAGGTGATTGCAAAGTGCACTGATGGTTTAGAACCACTGCTGAGACCCACCACCATGATGTACAAATAAAAATAAAAGAATAAAGAAGTTTCCACTGACAGGTGGTGGACTACTCGCTGTCCATTGTCAGTTCCAACAGAACTGAAATGCAGAAAGCCTTTCTAATTGAAATCAAGGAGTAAATAATGACTACATAAAAAAGGGAATATGTTGTGCATAGGGAATAATATTGTTAGGTGCCATCGAGTCAATTCCGACTCATAGCTATCCTGTGTACAAAAGAACGAAACACTGCCTGGTCCTGCATCATCCTCACAATTGTTGCTATGTTTGAGCCCACTGCTGCAGCCATAGTGTCAATCCATCTCCTGAGTGTCTTCCTCTTTTTCGCTGACCCTCTGCTTTACCAAGCATGACGTCCTTCTCCAGGGACTGATCCCTCCTGATAACATGTCCAAAGTACCTGAGATGAAGTCTCGCTATCCATGCTTCTAAGGAGCATTCTGGCTGTATTTCTTCCAAGACAGATTTGATCGTTCTTCTGGCACTCCATGGTATGTATATTCAATATTCTTCACCAACACCATAATTCAAAGGCGTCAATTCTTCATCAGTCTTCCTTATTCATTGTCCAGCTTTCAAATGCATATGAGGTTATTGAAAATACCATGGCCTGGGTCAGGTGCACCTTAGTCCTTAAAGTGATATCTTTGATTTTCAAAACTCCAAAGAGGTCTTTTGCAGCAGATTTACCCAATGCAATGCGTCTTTTGATTGCTTGACTGCTGTTTCCGTGGGCGTTGACTGTGGATCCAAGTAAAATGAAATCCTTCATAACTTCAATATTTTCTCTGTTTATCATGATGCTGCTTATTGGTCCAGTTGTGAGGATTTTTGTTTTCTTTATGTTGAGGGGTAATACATATTGAAGGCTGTAGTCTTTGATCTTTATCTATAAGTGCTTCAAGTCCTCTTCACTTTCAGCAAGCAAGGTTGTGTCATGTGCATATCACAGGTTGTTACTAAGTCTTCCTCCAACCTTGACGCCATGTTCTTCTTCATATAGTCTAGGTTCTTGGATTATTTGCTCAGCATACAGATTGAATAAGTATGGTGAAAGGATACAGCCCCGACACACACCTTTTATGGTTTTAAACCACGCAGTATCCCCTTGTTCTGTTCAAACAACTGCCTCTCAGTCTATGTACAGGCTCTGCATGAGCACAATTAAGTGTTTTGGAATTCCCATTCTTTGTAAAGTTATCCATAATTTGTTATGACCTACACAGTTGAATGCCATTGCAAAGTCAATAAAACACAGGTAAACATCTTTCTGATATTCTCTGCTTTCAGCCAAGATCTGTCTGACATCAGAAATTATATCCCTTGTTCCGCATCTTTTTCTGAATCCAGCTTGAGTAATTCCCTGTTGATGAACTGCTGCAACCGTTTTTGAATTACCTTCAGGAAAATTCTACGTGTGTGTGATACTAATGATATTGTTCAGTAATTTTTGCATTCTGCTGGATCATCTTTGGAATGGGCACAAATATGAACCTCGAAGAACAAGGATCAGTCATTGGAAAATACAGCCTTGGTTATAGAAACCTCACCAGAGATCACATGATAAAATTTTGCAAAATTAATGACGTATTCATTGGAAATATATTTTTGACAACTTTCAGTTTTCCTAGATTCACACTTGTTCTTCCAGTCAGTTGGTAAAAAGGTAGTTGTATTTCAAATTTCTTGGCTTAGACTAGTAAGTGCTTCCAGGGTTGCATCCATTTGTTGAAACATCTCAATTGGTATTCAGTCAATTCCTAGAGACTTGCTTTTCTCCAATGCCTTCAGTGCAGCTTGTACTTCTTCCTTCAATAGCATTGGTTCTTGATCATATGCTACCTTCTGAAATGGTTGAACATCGACCAATTCTTTTTGGTATAGTGAGTTTGTGTATTCCTTCCATCTTCTTTTGGTACTTCCTCATCATTCAATATTTTGCCCATAGAATCCTTCAAAATCGCAACTCAAAGCTTGACTTTCTTTCCTGTCTTTTTAATGATCTCTTGCATTCTTCATGTATGATGTCCTTGATGTCATCCCACAACTCAACTGGTCTTTGGTCATTAGTGTTCACTGTGTCAAATCTATTCTTGAGATGGTCTCTAAATTCAGGTAGGATATACTCAAGGTCATACTTTGGCTCTCGTGGACTTGTTCTGATTTTCTTCAGTTTCAACTTGAACTTGATATGAGCAATTGATGGTCTGTTCTGCAGTCGGCCCCTGGCCTTGTTCTGACTGATGATATTGAGCTTCTCCATCGTCTCTTTCCACAGATGCAGTCAATATGATTCCTTTGTATTCCATCTGGCAAGGTCCATTTGTAGAGTCATCATTCACGTTTTTGAAAAAATGTATTTCCAATGAATATGTCATTAGTTTTGCAAATTTTTATCATGTGATTTCTGGTGTCATTTCTATCACCAAGGCTACATTTTCCAACTACTGATCCTTGTTCTTTGTCTCCAACTTTGGCATTCCAATCATTAGTAATTATCAATGCATTTTGATTGCATGTTTAATCAATTTTAGACTGCAGAAATTGGTAAAAATCTTCCATTTCTTGATGTTTGGCATTAGTGGTTGATGTGTAAATTTGAAAAATAGTCTTATTAACTGATCTTCCTTGTATCTTATGGATATTATCCTATCACTGATAGAGTTGTACTTCAGGATTGATCTTGAAATGCTCTTTTTGACGATGAACACGATGCTATTCCTCTTCAATTTGTCATTCCAGACATAGTAGACCATGTGATTGTCCGATTCAAAATGGCCAATACCAGTTCATTTCAGCTCACTAATGCCTAGGATATTGATCTTCTAGTGTTTCATTTGATCTTTGACAACTTTCAGTTTTCCTAGATTCACACCTCGTACATTCCATGTTCCGATTATTAATGGATATTTACAGCTGTTTCTTCTCATTTTGAGTTGTGCCACATTAGCAAATGAAGGTTCCAAAAGCTTTACTGCATCCACATCATTATGGTAAACTTTACTTTGAGGAGGAAGCTCTTCCCCAGTCATATTTGGAGTGCTTTCCAACCTGAGGGGCTCCTCTTCTGGCATATATCAGACAATGTTCCACTTCAATTCACAAGGTTTTCACGGGTCAGTTTTTTCAAAAGTAGCTTGCCAGGTCCTTCTTCCCAGTATGTTTTAGTCTGGAAGCTCCTCTGAAACCTGTCCACCATGCATGACCCTGCTGGTATTTGAAGTACCGGTGACATGGCTTCCAGCATCACTGCAACATTCAAGCCACCACAGTACGACAAACTGACAGACAAGTGGTAGGTGTAGGGAATAGTTGAAGAAAAAGAACATGCTTTCTGAAGAAGAAACAGAAGGCAACCTGAGTGATGCTTAGGAAGAAAAACTTGGGGTGCTACAACTTGGGACAAGAGAATGAGCATGTTTCGGGCCTTGGAATCACACTTCTGGGCTTGTACACTGAGGGAGCCTGATATTTTTGCAACCACATCTTCAATTTAGGGTAAATGTTAGGATGCACCCATTCTGACCATCTCCATTCGTAAAGGTAGGTCAGGATGATAATGAAGCTGGTCTGGTGTAATAGAGGCTGTGTGCTCTTTATGGTAACTCTTGACTTTGGTAAAAAGATTCCTTTAAGAATCTGATGGAAACTACCAAAGTTATCCCCAGACAAATGTACATAAGCACACACTCAATATTCTGCATACAGTTTAAGGAGGGGAACCAGAAGCTTATTTATGAATAACACAACATTTGTTCTAGCAGGAGTTGGTATCCTGGGATTGGAAGTCATAGGTGGGGTCGGGTGGCGCAGCTTGAGTCATTAAGCTATATAATCCTGTATACTGGGGTGGGAATGGAGAGCACTGAGATTATTAGTTCATGTTCATGTGGGAGGGCCTTCTTTGCTGAATTGCATATTAGATAATGGAGAAAAAGTTGCCCTATAATTCCAGAACTGACAACAAGAACTTAAAAAGTGGAACTATGCAAATAAAAGAGTGAAAGATACTTATTTATGTATGAAAC